CAAGGTGGATACAAATTGGAAAGGAAGAAGTAAAACTTTCACTATTTGCAGATGATATGATAGTCTACTTAAGTGACCCAAAGAATTCTACCAGGGAACTCCTACAGCTGATAAAAAAAACCTTCAGCAAAGTGGCAGGATACAAAATTAATTAAAAACAACAACAAAAAACAGTAGCCCTACTATAGACAATAAATGTGCTGAGAAGGAAATCAGAGAAATATTACCCTTTACAATAGCCACAAACATAAAATATCTTGGGGTAACTCCAATAAACAGGTGAATGACCTATATGGCAAGAACTTAGAGTGTTTAAAGAAAGAAATTTAAGAAGATACCAGAAAATGAAAAGGTCTCCCATGCTCTTGGATAGACAGGATCAACATAGTAAAAATGGCAGTCTTACCAAAAGCTATCTACAGACTCAATGCAATCCCTATCAAAATCCCAGCACAATTCTTCACAGACCTTGAAAGGACAATTCTCAACTTTATATGGAAAAACAAAAGACCTAGGATTACCAAAACAACCCTGTACAATAAAGGAACTTCAGGAGGCATCACCATCCCTGACTTCAAGCTCTATTATAGAGCTATAGTCCTGAAAACAGCTTGGCATTGGCACAAAAACAGACAGGTAGACCAATGGAATCTATATGGACCCACACACCTATGAACACCTGGTTTTTTTTACAACGAAGCTAAAACTATGGAAAAAAGAAGGAATCTTCAACAAATGGTGCTGGCATAACTGGACACTGGCATGTAGAAGACTGCAGATAGATCCATATCTATCACTATGCACAAAACTTAAATCCAAATGGATCAAAGACCTCAACATAAATCCAGCCACACTAAACCTCTTAGAATAGAAAGTGGGAAGTACCCTTGAACAAATTAGTACAGGAGACTGCTTCTTGAACATAACACCAGTAGCACAAACACTGAGATCGACAATTGATAAATGGGAACTCCTGAAACTGAGAAGCTTCTGTAAGGCAAAGGACACAGTCAACAAGACAAAATGGCAGCCCACAGAATGGGAAAAAATATTCACCAACCCCACATCTGACAGAGGGCTGATCCTCAAAATTCTGATCCTCAAAATTTACAAAGAACTCAAGAAGCAAGTCTCCAAAACACCAAATAATCCAACTAAAAAGTGGGTTACAGAACTAAAAAGAAAATTCTCAATAGAGGAGTCTAAAATGACTGATAGACACTTAAGAAAGTGCTCAACATCCCTAGCAATGAGGGAAATGCAAATCAAAACAACTCTGAGATACCATCTCACTCCTGTGTGAGAATGGCTAAAATCAAAACACCAATGACAGTTTATGCTGGAGAGGATGTGGAGAGAGGGGAACACTCCTCCACTGCTGGTGGGAGTGCCAACTAGTACAGCCACTATGGAAATCAGTATGGAGATTCTTCAGGAAAATGGAAGTCAGTCTACCACAAGACCCAGCAATTCCACTGTTAGGCATATACCCCAAAGATGCACATTCATACTATAAGGACATCTGTTCAACTATGTTTATAGCAGCACTATTTGTAATAGCCAGAAACTGGAAGCAACCTAGATGCCCCTCAAGTGAAGAGTGGATAGAGAAAATGTGGCACATTTACACAATGGAATACTATTCAGCAGAAAAAAAATGGAATCCTGAAATTTGCAGGCAAATGGATGGAACTAGAAGAAACCATCCTGAGTGAGGTAACCCAGTCACAAAAAGACAAACATTGTACATACTCATTCATATATGGATTTTAGACATGAATCATGGCAGTGCCTGTCTACAATCCCACTGCCAGAGAGGCAGAGAAACAGGAAGGACCCTAAGAGAGATATACATGGTACCCCAGAGAAGGTGGAATGAGGCAAGATCTCCTGAGCAGATTGGGAGCGCAGGGTTGGGGAGAGGAAAGGGAGCCAGGAAAAAGAGAGGGAGACAAGAGGAAGGGAAAGGAGGACATGGGGGAGCAGGAAAGTTGAGTTGGGGGAAGAATAGAGGAGAGCAAGATGAGAGATACCATAATAGAGGGAGCCATTCTGGGTTTGAGGGGAGATCTGGCACTAACGAGAACTCCAGAGATGCACAAGGATGACACCAAATGGCAAACTAAGCAGTAGTGGAGAGACTACTTTAAATGCCCCTCCCTAGTAATGATTTTGACGACTATCTTACACACCATCCTAGAACCTCCATCCAGTGACAGATGGAAGCAGAGGCAGACACCCACAGCTAAATACTGAACTGAACTCCTGAAACCCAGTGACAGAGAGGGAGGAGTAATGAGCAAAGGGGTCAAGACTGGACTGGTGAATTCTAGAGAAATAGCTGACCTGAACAAGGGGAGATCTTGGACCCCAGCCTGATGGCTGAGAGGCCAGCATGGGATTGACCCAGACCCCCTGAATGTGGGTGTCAGTGAGGAGACTCAGGCAATCTATGGGGTTTTGGGGCAGTAGATCAATATTTATCCCTGGCACACAAATAGACTTTGGGGACCCATCCCACAATGAGGGATGTTTTCTCAATCTGTATACCAGGCCCTCCCCAGAACAAAATGACAGACTCTAGAGATCCCCCATGGAGGGCCTTACCTTCCCTGGGGAATGGAGTGGGGATTGGATGGGGGGCTGGGAGGGCTAAGGAGAGGGAGTGGGTGTGGAGGGGAGGGAGAGGGAGCTGGGACTGACATGGGAAGCAAGCTTGTTTCTAATTTAAATATATAATAAAAGAGTGTAAAAAAAAAACACACCGAGACACTTTATGCTGGAGAGAATGTGGAGAAAAGGGAATATCCTTCCATTGTTGGTGGGAGTGCCAACTTGTACAGCCACTTTGGAGATCAGTATGGAGATTCATCAGGAAAATGGAAATCTGTCTACCACAAGATCCAGCAATTCCACTCTTAGGCATATACCCAAAAGATGATGCACATTCATACAATAAAGACATCTGTTCAACTATGTTCATAGCAACATTATTTGTAATATCCAGAACCTGGAAGCAACCTAGATGCCCCTCAACTGAAGAGTGGATAGAGAAATTGTGGTACATTTACACAATGGAGTACTTACTCAGCAGAAGAAAACAATGGAATCTTGAAATTCCCAGGCAAATGGATGGAACTAGAAGAAACCATCCTGAGTAAGGTAACCCAGTCACAAAAAGATAAACATGGTGTGTACTCACTCATATATGGTGCTTAGACATGAAGCAGTGGAGTGCCAGCCTATAATCCTACAGCCAGAGTGTCTGGAAAACAAGGATGACCCTAAGAGAGATATGCATAGTACCCCGGAGAAGGGGAATGGAACAGGATCTCCTGAGGGGATTGGGAACATGGTGGGAGGGGAGAAGAAGCTGGGAGAAAGAGAGGGAGAGAAGATGAGGGGAGAGGAGGATATAGGGGAGCAGGATGGTTGAGTCAGGGGAAGAATAGAGGAGAACAGGATGAGAGATACCATAATAGAGGGAGTCACTATAGGCTTGAGGAGAGATCTGGCACTAGGGAGATTTTCAGATATCTACAAGGATGACACCAACTGACAATCTAAGCAACAGTGGAGAGTCTACCTTACATGCCCTCCTCCAATAATGAGATTGATGACTACCTTATATGCCATCCTAGAGCCTTCATCCAGTGGTTGATGGAAGCAGAGGCAGACACCCACAGCTAAACACCGAACTGAACTCCTGGAACCCAGTTGCAGAAAGGGAGGAGTGATGAGCAAAGGGGGGATTGGTGGGGGACAAGGGAGGAGGGGAGAGTGAAGGAGCTGGGATTGACATGTCAAGCAAGCTTGTTTCTAATTTAAATAAAATAAAAATAACTTAAAGAAAGAAACCATGTGCTGACAAAGAATTCCAAAATAGCTAAAAGATTCCCCTTTCTATATATTTCTCTACCTTAAAATAGCTTTATTAGAACAAATAATGTCCCAAGCCTAGTGTCTATTTGGAAGTGACCTAAGAAGCTTTCTGTTCTACTAATACAGGAATGTGCTCTTCTGTCCTGGACTGGTTTCACCAGTCCTTCTTCTAGGACACTTTGGGGCCTCATTATCTCTAAATCAATCAGGTCAAAACTCCACAGATGACCAAAATGAGGAGAGTCGGGGTCAGATATAACAACAAATTCTTAGTAGCATTATTTTTCAACTAGAGATCCTTGGGACTTTATTTTCATTCTTTGTCACTAGGGCCCAGGCTGCCAGAGGAATCCCCCTGGGGGATTGTAAAGCAGCCTGTAAAAGCATGCAAGCCCTCAGTGGCATTTACCTCAGAAAGGGTCTATTTTCATTGGCCAGAACAAGTCACCTGAGCATGTTTGACTGGAAGCTAGAAGGGAAAGGCCTAGATCTTAACAGTGTGGACTGTGTCAGAGTTCACCTCTCCTGCTTCTTGGAGAAGTTCATCTAAGGTCAGACCTCTCTCTATCAGTGAGGTCAGGCTCCACACAGCTTTCTCCCTCCTGTCCCATGAGTTATCCTTTAGGTGTCAGTTCTGTGTGAGCCTTATTGTAATGGCTACAGGTAATGAGGTGTGTGGTTTTTTAGTGTGCCCTTCAAAATTCACCTACAGATCAGTTTCCCAGTAAGCCTTTCTTGATTGCTGAAGCCTATATCAAATGGTATGTTTTCCTTTTCCTCCCTCAGACCAGACCTCTACAACAATGTTGTAGCCCAGGCTACACCTTAGTGCTGGGATCACAGATATTTGCCACCACACCCACCTGGCTTGTTCTGAATTATTTTACTGTTACATAGGCGTATGTAGGGACACAAGCAGTCCTGCAACATTCTTGAACATGTCTTAACTGTTAGGGATGTGGCTTGATGGTCATTTTTATAACTATCCTGTGACCTGAAAACAAATCTTTTCAAAATACTAAACACAGAAGCACTTAACCCTTTTAAGTACTTAAAACTTAAGGAACTGACTCAAACTACAGGAAGTAGCTGTGAGGACAGTGTGGCAGGAAATGACAGAAAACCTGAAAACGGAACTGAAGCAGCTGCTCTGTGTCTTGCCCCAAAGAGGCAGCTGCTGGAGGGGCACCGGGTGTGGACTTAAAGAACTGAAGCTGGGAGCTCGAATCAGCAGTAAAGGTGGGTACTCAGAGTTCTGGGAGACTTGGGGAGTGCAGGGGAAGCATGGAAGAGCAATCTACGTAGCACTTAGTTTTTGTTGAGGGAGGGTGTTGCTAATAGGTGTTGGACTTTTGATGGCCATAAGGGAGAGTGTTGCTAATAGGTGTTGGACTTTTGATGGCCATAAGGCCTTTGTGCAGTGGTTGAAAATGAGCATCTGAGGAACACGGAAATGGCCTGCACTCAGGAAACATGATTGATCAGCCATTTAGGACAGGACCATGGGCCCAGCCAAATATGCCCTGGGTTCTATTGATGATCTACACAGTCCACTCTAAGGGCTCTCTGCCCTTGGGAACTAAGCTAAAAGAGACCCACAGAAGCTGAAGACAAAGTGGACTTCTGTACGGTCTAGCAGGGACACAAAATGCACATGGGAAATGTAAGGGAACAGGAATTAGCCACAAGTGAACCCTGGTGCTGAGCCAAGTGCTTTTAGGAGCTAAATGCAAGCATGATTATTCAGCTGGGGTAACTGTGTTTGTTGGAATCTGAGAATGTCAGAGACAGGCAGCTGTGCTAACCCCTTCATTATCTAACATTGGGGAATAAAATCACAGTAATCAGTGATTTGTCAAGTTTAATATTTGTGAATTGCTTAGTCTAATATCTGGCTAAGCATATACTGCGTGTTGTGTGACTGGCTGTGGTCCCACAGAAACTGTCATATTACTGAGGTGTCTATGGATTGTTGATGCCATAAGTCAACACGGTCATCAGGCATTGGATGTACCTGGTATTCACTGTCCTTCACCAGATTGTCCTCCAGCCTCCTGCTTCAAGTTAGCAACCTTCTTGATTAGTTGTCAACAGTGCTGCATATTAAATTATTTTCATCTTAAAAATGATTATGAGAGGTTAGTAGGAGAGACGGGCTGAGGCCTGAGGGGACAGAAGGACAGAAGATGAGACCATTGGACCTCACTGCTTCCTTATTGCCATGCATATAGTAGACTTCTCCTTTCCAGTTTCCCTCTGTTGCAGAACCACCCAAGAGCCAGGACATGTCAGAGGCCATAATGATGTTGTTCAGAGGTCATCTTTACCTGTCCTAACCCATATCTGTAGCTATTGCCAAGTGGAGAAGGCATTGTTCTTAGTAGCTTCCTTGGCCTGGTTAACTCAGCATTTTCCCAGCTTCCCCTTAGCACATCTTTGACCCACCTGCATCATATTTCCCCAGGGATGATCTTCTAGGGGTTGTTAGGAAATGGGGGCAAGGGTGGAGGTTTCCAGGTGATTCTAGAAAGTAGAGACTTGGGGCCTAGATGGACAGAGCCCTGTGATAGGGAGTTGGAAAGGGTTTCCTTTGAGAAAGAGTGATGAACACCAGGAGGAAATCATGGAGAAATCTGAGAGAAATGCAACCACAATCCTGGAGTGGATGTTGTGTGACCAACCACTGGTCACCTCTACAAGCTGTGGACACAGTGAACAGTCCCCGCATGTTGACAGAGGTTGTTTAGTGTTACCTACAACTATATTGACATCTCTCCAGATATGTGTGGACCCAAACCATTATTTATCTTAACTAAATCCCACTCCTTTCTCTTCTTTTTTTTTTTTTTTTTTTTTTTTTTTTTTTGGTTTTTATGAGACAGGGTTTCTCTCTATTGTTTTGGAGGCTATCGGTCCAGCCCGGCCTCGAACTCACAGAGATCCGCCTGCCTCTGCCTCCTGAGTGCTGGGATTAAAGGCGTGCGCCACCACCGCCTGGCTTCCTTTCTCTTCTAATTGAGAAGAGTTCTCTCTAGAACTTCTGTCTGCTTTGTTTCAGCTCTTGTTTTCTTCTAAGAATGGCAAGAAATATTTGATTGCTCACATAGTTGACTGCAACATTCTTACCATCCTTCCTCTCAATTCTTTTTTCATTCCTGATTGTTTCCATCATCTGTCGCCCTCAGATGTGGAAGTCTGTGGTGGGGCATGATGTATCTGTTTCCGTGGAGACCCAGGGTGATGACTGGGACACAGACCCTGACTTTGTGGTGAGTAGGAAGTAAGCCTCACTTGGACATTTGGGGGAGGCATCTCAGCCCTCTGACCTTTGAGGGGCTTAGGAAGAACTGTCTGAGATTGAGATTAGCTGTCATTATTAGGAAGGCATGATAACTGGTATTGAGCATAGAAGAGCACAGATATGAGCACATTTGGTAGCAAAATTGAGGAACTGGGTCACTCTATCCTGAAGTTGAGGATCAGTTGAATCTGGGACTCTTCTGACCTATGATCCATAATTTGAGATGTCATAGGAGACCTAAAGAGGAAAGGATGGGGGATTCAGAGAGTAAAGAAGGGCGTGTCAAGGATCACTAGCTTAATTTTAATTCTCTTGTGGGGTTGAGATAGGATAAATGCAGCTATGAGTGAGAGTAAAGACTCTGAATAATCATCTAATACAGGGAACAGAGATCGTGAGTGTCAGGTGTGAGGCTCCTTGCAACATAGTACATTTCTTGCTGACGAAGTTGCATGCTGTCTTTTAGAATGACATCTCTGAGAAGGAGCAGCGGTGGGGAGCCAAGACCATCGAGGGCTCTGGACGCACAGAGCACATCAAGTAGGTGCTGGAAGAATCAGGAGGGGAACTGTGTTCCATGAAGAGCTGGTGAAAAACCTGCAGGCTTTGGGGAATGTGAGGAAAGAAAACAGCCATGTCTGGGAATCTTATTATTTATTTACTTATTTGAGAATCTGTCTGTTCCCATGTCTTAATGTGTATTCACTTCATCCCCTCTTATCATCTGCCTTATTTTTATGTGTCTTTTATATGTAACAGCTCTATCACTCCCCCTTGGGGAGGCAGTCTGTTGTATTAATTATCTCCCTTCCTTCAATCAGAAATGAGGTAATGAGAGAAGTGGCACAAATGCTGAAGTTCTATCTACCTACCCTAGGTGTCTGTCTGTCTGTCTTTGTATCTATATATCTTTCTGTCTATAACCCATTACAAACATATAGAACACATGCTTAGAGGGTAGGGTGATGGCCAGTGGGTTAAGACTTCAGTGCTGGGTGTGGTCTTACACATTATTAATCCCAGCACTCAGGAGGCAGAAGCAGGCAGATCTCTGTGACTTAAAGGCCAGCCTGGTCTACATGGTGAGTTCCAGGTCAGCTAGGACTCCATAATGAGACTCTGTCTCAAAAAATGAAAGCATTAGTAAAATGTCAAGGTAAAGAACTCTCCCATAAATGCTGTAGTGAGGACAGGATCTGCTTTCATACTTGATACAGTGATTTGAGATATAAATTTGCATTGAACTTCTTGATAGAAATTGGGAACTATTAATGCTAATATAAAGAAACATGACATTTGGAAAAGTTGAAAACTAAAACCATTTTAGCAATGATGTTTAGTTTTCAAGACAATGATCCAACTTTCATTTATCTGAAATAAATGTGGCCATGTTACTCAGATGTTAAATTTCTGCCTAGCATGCATGAAGCCCTGTGTTGGGTTCCAGCACCAAATAAACTAGGTGTGGTACCTTATGCTAACACTGGAGGGTGGAGAGAGGTAGCTGTGGGGGCAGTGATAGATACAGAAGTGTCAGAATTCAATGTCAAAGCTACTCTGGGTTACTCTGTGTGGATTATAATGTGTTAGTGAGTACCTCTGAGTTACCAATAATGCAGCCATGTCCCATTAAGGATAGAAAGAAGAGCACGTCCCCTTGTTTAACCAAAAGAGAGGCTAGATTTGAATTCTCTACTTCATGCTCTCTGTCTCCCTTCCTCTGTAGGTCTGCTGCATGTGTCTCAATCTCTTAAACCGATTGAAAGCTGAATTGTTAATCTGTGTGTTCCTGTGTCTCTGTGTGTCTATCTGTCTTACGTGTGACTGCCCTGTGACTAGGTGGCTGGTATCTGGATCTCCCTAACAAGAAGCTCTGCTCTGTCTTTATTGAACTGCATAGAAAGCTCCACATAGGGGAAGGAATGAGAAATACTTAACAAAAATCTTTAATTGAGTTTAACAAGGGATTAAGTCCAACTGACCCAGATAACAAATACCATTGTTTACCAACCAATATCCATAAATGGTCACTTTCAACCTCTAAGTGGTAAATTTTAGGAAGTTGCTTTCAACTTCTGTATTTGTTGCTTTCAGCAAATGATATACAAGCATTACTGTGGGTCAGGGACATAGAAGAGGACATCATTTAAGATTGCACTGTGTATTAGTTTAGGTTGTAAGAATTGATCACATGGCAAGTAAGTTTGGTCATTACATTGTTCTCTTCGAATAAGGCTTAACAGGTTAGCAGTCTTGAGTGTTAAGCGATTTCAAAGACTTGTTATTAACTTTGGCTATGAGTTTCAGCAAAAGTTTCAATCTCTTAGTATGTAGGGGATATTTTTAGAATACCATATCACCACAATACATAAAACTCTGTCTCAAAGAGAGAGAAGTAAATATGGGCATATCTAGGGTTTTCTGTGGAATATTGTACTTGGTGACCGAGAGATACACACCTCTCTTCTATGGACTAGTGAGGACCATCTAATCAAGACTATTGGCTTTGGGTAGCACCAGGCTGCCATATTTTAGTAGCAAAGTAAACACAATGGTATAGTAAGATTGAAAGTTGGAAAGTAACCAATTAACACTACTCCTAAATTTAGCAAGATTAAGACAATTTTCAGTTCCATTCCCAACTCCTCTTCCCACACTCTAACAATATTTTGACTTCATTTTCCTCTAGATTTTAAAAGGTGCTAGTGATGACCATATTGCAATGGCCATAGTCTTAGGAAACTTGGCACATGTTTGTGCAGATTTGGAATATTACCTGAACACCATTCAGATATAAACGGTTTGACTTAAATAGCTATACTAGAATTATTCTTTTTAAATTTCATTTATTTTTATATGATAGGGTCTTTTGTCAGCATGTCTGTCTGTGTACTATGTGTGGGTCTGGTACCCATGAGGCCAGAGGGGATGTTGACCCTCTGGAACTAGATTTAGAGAGAGTTGTTAGCTGCCATGTGGGTGCTGGGAATCAAACCTGGGTCCCCTGGAAGAACAGTCAGTGCTCTTACCTATTCAACATCTCTCTCTCTCCAGCCCCAACTGAATATTAAACAAATAAAGCAATTCTGGAAGCTATGTCACATGACAAAGAGAAAGAACAGGAACAGGGTCTTTCCAGCAGCTTCCTTAGTGCTCACCCCCCTGAGAACTCACAGATCCAAGAAGGTTGGAACTCTTTCCCTTTCTGGGTGAAGGCCACACCCCCTGGTGTTCTGGGATCTGCTGAGATGAGGAAACACTACTGGGGTGTTTTCCCCTCCTGGTGCCCGCATCTTGCATGTTAGGTAAGAGTAGGACATTTCAAGGACTCCTGAAGTTCTGCCATGAGCCTGTGGGAAGAGCTTGCATTTGGAAGGTTTTGATTCAGTTCACAGATTTGTCATTACTAGCAGTGTGAACTTAGTCACCTCTAATGTCTTAGTAGCTTGTTTTATTCATTCTTGGGGATAATAACAGCTACACAGAAGGCTCATGTTTAGATTTCAATGAGTAGTATTCATGAGTGTCTGTTGGTACTTACAACTTTGGTGATGTTATTTCTATACTCTGTTACTGCAGATGAGTTTTATCATTGTCATCTCCCAAACCCAACGGTACCTTCTTTCTTCCTAAATGGTGTTGATTCAAATGGCTGCAATGCATAGCACTGTACACACCATTTTGACTTGTGTTACCTGTAGCAGAGCACCGTGGTGACTGAGCATATCAAACTAACTGGATCAGTATTCCTTATAGTAAATGTTGGAGATATTTCCACAAAGACTTACTTGTATATATTTGTTAAAGTCTTCAAGATACAGAAACTTCGATTCTTGTGGGGACAGGGTAGGCGACCTTGAACAAACCTTTTATCTCCTTTGATCTTCAGTTTTCCCATCCAGATCAAACAGTCCTCCAGGGGATACTGCAGGGGACACTTCAGGGGACACTCCAATGTCTCTAATGTTCTTTGGACAGTGCCCACTGATCCACCCTTCATAGTCAAGTGGAAATCACCAAGACCCTGGGAGTGGAGGGGAAACTGGAGGGGAGAGTACTTGCCAAACTGAACTGACTCAAAACAGGAACAGGAAGTGACTGTGGTTCTTAGTAGGTGTGCTGCCTGCCCTTTCACCACTCAGTTTCTTTCAGGTCAGCCTTGAATACATTTAGTCTGGGGATGGCTTTCTAGTTCAGAGACGAGCTTAAAACTCTACTGTCTCTCATCAGCTGTATAGGGAAATGGCCCAGTGGTCAAGGGCTATCACCCTACTGTCCTCTCCATGCCTGCTGCCTCCTCTTGCTATTTTCCCCCTCGACTAGTAAAGAATCCTTTTCACCCTCAAACAGTAATTCTTAAGCTCTCTGTGGGAGGGGACAGACGTTTTTGTCTGCTGTTTGTCTACTATCAAATTTGTTACAGATTGATACTTTTGTAAAATGAAATGTAACTGAAAAAATGACCTAGAAGATATAAGCACAATTTTTACTTTTATATTCAACAGATAAAGATCACCGTGTAAAACTCTTTTTCATGTTTCTAAAATCATACTCTTGATTTTTTTTTTCTTCTTCTTCTTTCATTGTGGAAAAGAAGCAGGCCAGCTCCCAAAAATCACTGGGAACAATTCTGTGGGCACCACTACCCTGGGCAAGGCCTTCAGTGCTTCCTGAAGCCTTTAGGTTAGGTCTCACTGAGAAATGGCCATAAGTAACCACCTCAGTGGCTTACCAGATTTCTGTGTCCTATCATTTCACACGAAGAAGAAATGAAGAATAATCCAGTACCTCAAGTACTGAAATAGAACCCTGGAGGTACAGGGGCCAGTGCCAGCTTGGCTATGCCAGCTCTCAGGGCATTGAAGAGAATAATTCCACCACTCTACTTCCATTTACCCATGTGACTGGAGGTAAGAGTCCTGGCCCCCCTCATCTCGCAGGGGTACTATGAAGAACCACAGCTATAACATGAGAACAAAGGGCAACATTTATTGAGTTGTGACTTGTCATGCTGACATGCATGTCTTTCATAGATGATGATATCATTCTGATAGCACAGAAAAGTAAGGTATTCATTCTTGAGTTTAATAATTTGTCTAAGGATATAGGCATAATATAGACAAATATTTTTAATTCAGCTCAGCCTGAATCTATGGGCTGAGTACTTAGCCACTATGTCATATCATTTCTAATAAACCTATTTTGTCATGCCCATGATTCTCTTTTTAAAATGGAATGTGAATTCCCATGATCAACTATGCCCTTTCACTAAGGTTGCTGCTCTGTTTAAAGTAGTTGACTATATTATACTCTGTAATGACTCCTTCTCTGCCCCACCAGCCATCTCCCAAATAACAACATAGAGACTTCTTATCAATTATAAAAGCTCAAGCTTAGGTTAGGCTTGTTTCTAACTAGCTTTTATAAATTAAATTAACTCATTTCTATTAATCTGCTTTGCTGCCATGTGGCTCATGACTTTTACTTCTCCTCCTGCATGTCCTGCTTCCTCTGCAACTGGTTGGCAATTCCCCCTTTCT